CTGTAGCTAAAGCCTTTGATGTAGTTTAGGTCTGACTGTAGCTAAAGTCTTTGATGTAGTTTAGCTCTGACAGTAGCTAAAGCCTTTGATGTAGTTTAGCTCTGACTGTAGCTGAAAGTTATTTGTTGTTCTTGATGTCTTTGCTTGATCTTCTTTTGTTTGCCATTTTCTAATGTCATGGAAAAAATGGTGCGTTTACATCTGAAGAAATGAATGAAAGAAGTGGAACTCTTATTGATGGCGGAACCAGCGCTCAGCTGACGCGTGGACCCACCCAACATCCTTCAGAAGTCGGCTTCACACAACATCTCTACAACTTAAACGACAAGCATATTTTACTGTAAACAACCTTTGAATTAGATTCCTATGCAATAGCAGTACATAACTTAGCTTGGTACGTGCTAATATTTACCTGGTACATATCTGGTATTTTGTTACTCTAAACTTCCCAAGTAAAAAAAGAGAAACAAGTCACTATATAAAACAACCTGAACTCTGTAAGTACTCATTAAACAGAGTAAACAAAAGGTACATACCAGGTACATAACAGGTACGCGCAAGGTACATACCAAGTAAACAAAGTATATAGCCAGTACACACCAGATACACAATTACATTCCAAACTGATAAATGTCACTCTCACTGCTCCTCTCATGAGGCACAGCACGGCTAAATGAGCTTTATACTGTGGTTTGTTTCAGGGAAGGAGGCTGAAGTCTGTCAGACCTGCAGCTGCAGTTCACACGCTTACTAACGTCGTGAAGGCGGCGCAGCTGAAGAGGATTATTATTTAATATATGTAAATAAAGGTCTAAAAATATATAATAAATAAAATAAAATATATGTAAATAGTTTATTTTTTAGACATTTATTTTGCACAATTACAGCTGTTTACTATATGTGCCTGAGTGACCACTAGGACAAAGCTTTGACTCAGAAATATATTTTTGTTATTACGTTATGGAAAGAAAAAATATCCAGATATATTTCGTATATTGGCATTCATCTTACAATATCGATATATTAATTTTGGTCCATATCGCCCAGACCTTTACATACCCAGTACATTTATTATTATTTATTATTTATTTATTAACCTTTATTCAATACCCAGTACACACCAGTTACACACCAGTTATACACCCAGTAAATGCCAAGTAGGTATCCAGTACACAAATGGTAAGCACCTTGTAAGTACCCAGTAAGTTTGGGTTAGTACCTTCTAAGTACCAGATATGTACTTTGTAAGTACTAGAAATACCTGGTAAGTACCCTGTAAGTATCTGGTAACTATCCTGGTAATTATGCAGTCAGTACCAGGTACATGCAAGGCAATATTTTGTATTGGTACTTTTTCCTGTGTCCAGTCTAAATGGAAGTTTCAGATACAGGAATAAGTATTTCCTGAAGTTTTGGGGTGAATCTTGCTCCGTGCTCGCTCGGCTTTCTGCTAATTGTTTATAAGTGGTTTGGTTTTGGATTTTAAAGCTAAAATCTATTAAAAACAAAATATTGCAGCAGGATTTACATCAAACGTCTCAGTGACTTTTAGCCTTTTCCTGAAACGCTCAGCGAGTTGCAGCCGAAGTAACGCTACCTCTGGGATGAGCTGAAACAGAGCGTTGGAGTAGAGCGTGCCAATGGCCAGGGCTATGAAGAAGAGCAGCAGCCGCTTGTAAAAGGTTTTCCTCATGAAGGGCACCACGCTGGCCCCCACCAGCGAACACAGAGAGATCAGTGTCACACACAGGATCCCATAACCCCACACTGATCAAAGACAAAGAAAGGACGGGGAGAGAACAACAGACAAAGACAGCTAGTTAGTTCACAGATGATCTTATCAGATTAATTACTAGGCACAGAAATCAGGGAGCACCAACCAATTAGCCCTGTAGGAATGGAGAGAATGACAGAGAACCGGACTGAACCTTTGAGACAAGAAGCTCGTTATTCAGAGAATCATTTAGGAGAAGTGACACCACCTTCCTGCATTCAGCGCTTCAAACCCACTTCCTTTTGATCAGAGACAGAAGAAGTAATTAAGATGGAATTACACACAGACTTTATTCTAGTCCGCTCAAGTGTGTCTGTGCCACGACCTCAAGGGAAACCTGACTCAGGAGAACGAGCACCAACATGGACTAGTGTTTTACTTTGAAGGAGCTGGTCCTCAGGCCTCACCGTGACAGAAGGTAGGCACCTCCAGGACAGGTTTATAGATACAATAAAGATAAATGCATGGTTAGAAGTCAAACCTCAGGCAGCAGCTGCAGGACGGCGGTGGAGTAGAGCGTGCCGATGGCAAGAGCGACGAAAAAGCTGAAAACATGTTTCATGAACCTCGTCTTCAGCAGAGGAACGACGAACACGCCGGTGAGGGAGAAGGCACTGATCAACGTCACACTCAAGAAAGAAAAACCCCAAACTGGAGTTGGGACAAAGTGGAGCGTTAAAGCAAAATGCACTCGTCATCTTTCAGGGTTACATTTCTGTGAGGAAATATTGGGCTAAAGGTGGACTCTTACTGGGCTGAGAATAGTTGGTGACTGGGTTCAGGAAGACTGTCCAAAATGTCTCAAACCTGTCTCGGTTACGTCCTGGGCGTCTCCTGCCTGAATCCAGAGAGCTAGAGCTGCAGGTGCTCTCCGATGCAGGTCTAAAAACTACCTGGATTATAGTTTTGCAAGTCGTGCACGAGAAAATAGGCTCTAGTTTAAAAAAGTAACTGGTAAAACATGGCCACGTGCCACTGGTTCCAATGAGAAGGTTCAGCTAAACTGCCCCATGAATGAACCCAGTTCTGATAGTTGAGTCACCACCTGGTCTGAGACCGTCTCAGCCGAGCGAGAGGCCAACTTTAACCTTAGAGGGTCATCATGACAACAACCTCATGTGGTGTTTGTAACTCAGTTTGTCTCAAAGCTAAATGTCCTTCACTGTGGAGAGCTCAGAGAGGACGCATCACCTGCAGAGAAACAAACGAACTCCTGCAACATTTGAAGCATCACAGCAAAAGAAGTCAAAAACATCAAACTCAGGTTGTGTGAGCCAAGACGTTTCAGAACAAACAGTGATCCATTTTATAAAGCGATGGTTTCTAGCAGTGAGATGAGGTCCATCTGCAGGTCAGGAGGCTCTGGAGCCAAAACAAGCTCCGTACAGGGCGAGGGCACGAGGGGCCGACAAGGACAAACACACGAGTCAGAGGAAGGAAAGACGAAACTCTGGGAAAGCTCCTCCTCACCTGTCCAAAACAAAACAGCTTCCAAGTCAAAACTTTACATTTGTTAGAAAATTAAACACAACAACGTAATCAAAGAACGCCTGAAAGTTTGTGGGTTCACCGAAGGAAAGCAAACTTTAAGGTCCAGTTATGTGAACAGCAACGAGCTGCGCACAGTTCTGATTGAATACCTGCAGCATCCTGCAGCGGTCCAGATCAAGTTCCACAGAACCGGGGGGGGGGTCTGTCCTGTGCACGAGTTCTCAGACACCCTATCTAAGCTTTCATTACCTCTGCTAGGCTCTTGAAGGGACCTTGAATTAAACAAGGTCTGAGTTACACAGAACAAGGAGCTCACTGGTAAAAACATTGTTAGTTAAAAGGAAACACTTCGCCCGCTCAACTTCAAATATAAAACTAACATCAAACGTGTGAACATGTCAAATAAAGCTGTGATCTGTGCACATCTGCTGTGAAACAATGGTTGAACCAGCAGTAGCTCACCTTCCGCATCCGAAGGCCTGGGGGAGGAGTCAGGATCAGGCTCCTCCTCCTTCTTCCTCTTGCAAGCGCCAGAGTCCAGATGCTGCAGCATGGTGGGACACAGCTTCTGTAGACCCGACCCATCCAGCCGGCTCTGCTCGCTGATGCTGTAGAAGGCCAGCGTGTCTGCAGGCAAACACTGCGAACAGAAGCACAACATCAGTTGATTCACTGGAGCGGTCCACAGCTGAGCTGCTGGGATGAGGATCAGAACCTCCAGGTCTGAGGCCACGGTCCTCAGTCAGACGCTGGACCGTCCTCTCCAGGTCCAGGAGGTTCTGCCTCCAGTGGAGGATGTCAAGTATCTCTGGTTGTGTTCAGTGAGCGAAGAATGGAAGGAGGAGATCCACAGATGGACCGAAGTAGCTTCTGCAGTATTGTGGACTCTGTGCCGGTCCGTTGGGGTGAAGAGAGAGCTGAGCTGTAAGGAGAAGCTCTTTACCAGCTGGTCTACGGTCCCTCACCTGTGGCCCCGAGTTCTGGGAAGAGACTGAAAGAATCAGATCCTGGATCCAGGAGGTCTAAATGAGTCCTCTCTGCAGGGTAGCTGGACTCTCCTTAGAGATCAGGTGAGAAGTTCAGTTCTCCAGGAGAGACCTGGAGTAGAACTGCTGCTCCTCCACATCCAGGGGAGACCGCTGAGGAGGTGAGGATGGACCCTGAACGCCTCCTTAGGGAGGTGCTCTGGACATGTCCAACTGGACACGCTGGACAGACAATGTCTCCAGAACAGGTGGACTTTCTGAAAGCTCAACCTAACGAATGAACCGGTCCAGTCCAATGCAAGCAGCATGTTCAGCTTCTGCCAGGTGTTTAACCACCTGCAGGGGGGGGAGGGCAGTGTGTCATCTGCAAACAGAACCAGTCTGTGTGGTTCTGATCAGCAGTCTGTAAGAACTCATCAGCAGCTGACGCAGCGTGTGACAAACATGTGAGGTATTTCTGCAGTCCAACAAGCGTACGGTGTCTGGCTGTTGAAGGCTCTGAACTTAAACCAGCTCCACAGCTTCAACTTGGAGCGTCGGCTTGTTTTAATGAACTTCAGCTGTTTTCTCTCAGTCTGAGCCCGTCCTCACAAACCAAACGCACGGTTCACAAGCTTCTGTTTGGTTTAGGCTCATGGAAAAAACAACAGGTTTGACTCCAGAGAAGTCCTGTGGAGACCCAGTCTGGGTCTGGACCTGAACCCAAGCAAGGACCAGGGAGCCTGTGAGTCCAGGTCCAGTCCAGAGGAGTTGATTAATGCAACATGTCAAAGTGAAACGCCTTCCAGGATTGTTTCCATCTCCAGGCGCCTGCTGTTTGCTCCACAGTAATCTGTGTCAAAGTCCATGCTCAATAATCCAGGTAAATAATCCAGTCAGGTCATCTGGACACTTCCTTTATTGACAACACGTACTGTGAAGAGGACCTGACTGAACACTGCAGGAGTAAACAGAGTGTTTATTTGTTTACAAGCTCCAAACAAACTGACCCACACACAAAATTAAATCATCTCAAACAGGATTCATTTGATTTCCGCACAGAAATAATTAGGTATTACAAAAGGTTAGATAATAAGGTATTATTATTAATAAAATTCTAGTTAATAACTAATATTACTATAATTTGGATATTTAGGTTGATTTAAATCCTATGGTTAGAGTCGGTTTGTTCTGCTGCTATAGACTTAGACTACTAGAGGACAAACTGACCTCATTTCCTTAAATGAATTGTTAAAACTGATGTGATTCTTGACCTGCCATTGTGTATCTATTCCTACCAAACCCAGCTGGTCGAAGCAGATGGTCCTCTAGTCCTGATCCTGGTTCTGTTAAAGGTTTCTTCCTCATGAGGGAGTTTTTCTTTCCACTGTCGCCTTCATGCTTGTTCAAGATGAGAGTTCAGTGATGGAGTTAAACTCAAAGCTGCTCCTCAGATAAATAATGTTCAATTATTATTTTATACATGAATGTTTCTGTTAATTATTATTTTATACATGAATGTTTCTGTTAAATTATTATTTTATACATGAATGTTTCTGTTCAATTATTATTTTATAGATGAATGTTTCTGTTAAATTATTATTTTATAGATGAATGTTTCTGTTCAATTATTATTTTATACATGAATGTTTCTGTTAATTATTATTTTATA